GATCCCTTAGCCTCCTGTCAAAATACTGTTGGATCATTTCAATGTTTGTGTCAAAGCGGATACACTGGAGACGGAAGAACCTGCACTGGTAAGAGATATTGATCTAAATTTCTAATTTTTCTAAATTTCTACTAATGATGAGGATTTTTAAGGCAATATCAGGTGTATGCAAAAACAACGACCATAGTAACAAACAGAACTTCGGAAATTTCGGAAAACATAAAAATATCTTTCTCTATCCAGACCTTGAGAAAGCTGAAGTCCACTCCTTAACCTTTTTTGAAACATCTAAGGTTCGGTGTTGTACAAATAAAATAGCCGGCAATACCGAAACATTTAATGCCCCAAGCCCCTCAGTGAATCAATATTTTTTGACATTACATGCCTGTTTGATTCATTTCAGACGCAGATGAATGCAGTTTTTCTGTAAGTCCGTGTGATGCAAATGCAATATGTGGAAACACTGTGGGATCTTTTAATTGCTCCTGCAAAACAGGATACACTGGGGATGGACTGACTTGCACAGGTGATGAGATGATTGGCCATATCATACTCCTTTTTCTCCTTGTAAGTTCTTTATTTATCAAACTTTATTGAATCGTCATCAGATATTGATGAATGCACTCAAGGATCCCATGGATGTCTTCCCGACCTTGCATCTTGTATCAACACAGACGGATCATACAGCTGTACATGTAATGCTGGATATACAGGAGACGGGAAAATCAGTTGCGAGATAGCGCTACCGGAAGGTAAAAAAAGCGTGATACATTCTTTGATTTTATGATTTTTCACCGAAGTTTTGCTATTTTAGGGTTTTTATGTGGGAGAGGTTTGGCCAATTTATTGTGTTGTCATTCTGTCCGTAAGTTGGATTTTGCGGACACCGCTGTAAACTTTACTAATGGTTAAGGTTATCAGCGGGTAAATAAAAACGATTTTACCTTCTCATATCTATCGACGAGAAATAAGGTTGTTATCACATTCCCGACCATTTTCCGCGATGACGAAAAAAAAAAAAAAGAAACAAAAAAAGAATTCTCGGCCCTTGAATGAGTTTTTTTGTTCCTCCTAATTTGCGTGAGCAATAATAGGCCCAGTTCAATTGCTTTGATCTCAATTTTAGCCAATCATAGCGCGCCTTGTATTGACCACAAGCCATGTACTAATATAGTAATGCGTATCAATATACCCTTGCGATGAATTTTTCAGAATGTGAGAAT